GATAAAATTTAAAACAAAAATGCTAAATATCGTAAAGGAATCGATTTACGCAAAGCTAAGCGCGAGCGTAAAAAGATTATACGAAAACGCTGCAAGTTTAATTATTAAAAACGACGATTTAATACTTATTTTAATTCTCGATTCGAAAGAGATTTAGTAGATGCAACAACTTCTTCAACGTCAAATTTTGCGGCTTCGTAAAAAAAGTATTCCTCGACCAACTCTTTCTCAACTTGAACTTTTTTTCGATGATAATAATTTAATAATTATAACCGATACTATCGGAGACCCTTTTTTAAAGCAAAATATTATTCCTTTTCTTAGTATTAATATCGATAGCGATAGCTTTAATTTTGATAGTAATAGAGATTCAAACGATTCGTTGCGTAAGATAAAAGACGAATCAAATTCTAATAAAAATAATGATCGATGGTCAGATATTTTATCGGATAATACGATTTTAAATGTTTCGGAAGACGATATAATAGACGATTAATTATTCATGTAAATATTTCTTAATTGTAATAATAAATGCTATAGTATTAAAGAATTTCTAACATATTCGAAAAAATCCGCATTCGCTTCCGATCCGCAATCGCTTATGCCGACTAAGACTGAAAGGATGAAAGGAGGCCCACCTAAGCGAGCCGACGATTACGTACGTACGTAGTAGGTACCGGTACCGGGTAGTACTACGTACGTAGCTGGTAGGTGGGGGGGAGGGGGGAGGAGTGGGGGGCGCGAAGTGGGGGGAGGGGGAAGGGAATAATTGGGCATGAAACGACGGGCGACGGATTCCTGCTGACGTACGACGAGTATTTCTTCCCGCTGGGGACGAACAAACCTCATCCCTCTACAGTACCGGCACAGCTCATCAGCCAGCACCACCACAAATTGTTGGTCGGAACTTGTTTTACGCAGACAATCGATTCTTCGTGACAATTACGTGGCGGATTGTTTCGGCGTCGGTCGATCGCTGTCGGTCGCGGTTGCTTTCCTCCTGCCTCGACCTCCGTACCTACCTCCGTACCTACCTCCGTACCTACGTACCTCCGTACCTCCTCTACCGGTTTATTCAGTGTTGTGGTGGCTGGCAGCTTCCTGGATAGGTCAGAGTGATCGGTCTCACCTCACTTGTGTCACGTCACGTCCGGTAGGATTGGATGCTTTTCCTTCCGTTCCCTGGTGCAGTTCACCTTCCCATCTTCCTTCCCATTCGCTTCTCTTCGTCACTGTCACTTTCCTTGTTTCGTGTTGTTCCCGTCTCCGTCCCCGTCCCCGTCCCCGTCCCCGTCCCTATTCACGTCGGAGAGAAGGAGAAGACCACAAGAAGCAGCAGCAGCAGCAGCAGCAGCAGCAGCAGCAGCAGCAGCAGCAGCAGGAGATCCAGATCCCATCGACCCCTGTTCCATCTCTCTACTCACGCTGAAGAAGCGTTGCCGTTTGGTCGCATCTCCTTCTCTCCCTCACTCGCTCTCTTGCATCACTCTTCACCTCCCACCTCCATTCAACTACTTGGAACCGATCCCTCTCCAACTCCAACTCCAATTCCATCCCCATCCCCATCCCCATCCACACTCCCAATCCCAGCTCACCATGTCGCAGAAAATTCCCATCCTCCTAGAGGGCGCATCACTCCCAGAAGCTCCCCGTCCGCGGCTTCGAGATCGCCAGCACTCCCTCCACCCAGGTCTGCGGCCGTCCGTGACTGACATCCCCGTCACGCCTGGCTTCCAACTGGGCGAATACATACCCTCACCCTACAGTGCCGAAGACCTCGAACAAGCCTCCTACTTCCCCCGCGACGTTCATAAGTGGCGAGAGAACATGGCACATTCGCCATCGGCGGCTTCGGGCGCGAAGTCCAACCAAGAGGATTCGACTTCGGGACAGGCGCGAAGAAAGTCCTCGTCGGAGATGGACCCGCGGGCTGCCAATCCGACCTTGAACCTGAGTGGGAGTGTTATCTCGACCACCTTCTGTATCCCTTATGGCCTCACGTACCGAAAAGGGCAGGATTGGGTGAGTCCATCTCGGAAGCAACAGAAAGCTGTGCTGTGTTTTGCTGTGCTGACGCTCACTACAGGCGATGCAATCTCGGCGCGGCACATCGGCCCTCTTCGACTCCTTCTCCTACCTCTCCTCCGACAGGACTTCGTGGAATCACACCCTGGTGGGCTGGACAGGGGAGATCGAGGAGCTAGAAGAGCTGACCCCGCCTGATACCCCTCCCGCGACCACCACGGCCTTGAAGATCCCCCCCCTCAACAAGAGCTCGGCTCCGATCCCCCTCGATGGTTCCGTGCGGCCTGCTGAGCCTGTGGTGCAAGAGGGCATCCGGGTAACCAAAGAAGGCCGTGCGTGTCTGGAGTGGCAGCTCGCCCACGATAAGAATTGCCGCACTCTGCCTGTCTGGTTGAACGATGACAACGAGGAATCTGCAGATGGAGACATATGCTTGAAGGACCAGTCGCGCTGGAGACGCTTTGCCGAGCACGAAATCTACACCCTCTTCCACTACAAGCAGCACGAGCCGACCAATGGCCAGGCAGAGCGCCAGACGTGGGCTGATTACTACCGGATGAACCAGAAATTCGCCAACCGGATCCTGGAAGTCTACAAGCCCGGCGATATCGTCATGATTCACGATTATCACCTGCTCCTCCTCCCTAGTATGCTCCGCCAGAAGGTCCCGCACATCTACATTGCCTTCTTCCTGCACATTCCGTTTCCCAGTAGCGAATTCTTGCGGTGTTTGCCCCGGCGGAAGGACGTCCTGGAGGGTGTTTTGGGAGCGAACCTGATCGGCTTCCAATCTCACAGCTACTCCCGGCATTTCGTATCGTGCTGTACCCGGATCCTGGGATTCCCCTCGGACATCTCGGGCGTGGAGGCGTACGGCACCAAGGTCACAGTTGGAGTCTTTCCCATTGGCATCGATGCGGCTGCGGTGGAGGAGCTGGCTTTCGATGGGAGCACCATCGATCAGCACGTGACACAGTTGAGAGACATGTACAAGGGGAAGAAGATCATTGTTGGTCGGGATCGATTGGACAGCGTGCGGGGTGTTGCGCAGAAGTTGATGGCCTTTGAGAAATTCCTCGAAATGTACCCGGAGTGGGTCGACAAGGTGGTCTTGATCCAGGTGACCAGCCCGACCAGCGTCGAGGAGGAGAAGGAAGACTCGGGCAACAAGATCGCCAACAAGGTCGCGGATCTCGTTGCCAAGATCAATGGCACCTACGGATCACTGTCGTTCTCGCCGGTACAGCACTACCCACAATACCTGTCGCAAGAAGAGTACCTCTCTCTGCTCCGAGCAGCTGACACGGGCCTCATCACCAGTGTACGCGATGGGATGAACACAACCAGTCTGGAATATGTCGTCTGCCAACGCGACCTCCATGGACCCCTGATCATCTCCGAATTCTCGGGAACCGCGTCGAGTTTGAAGAAAGCCATTCATATCAATCCCTGGGATCTCTCGGGCGTGGCACGGTCCATCAACCACGCTCTGACGATGAGTGAAGACGAGAAGCTTGCGATGCACTCCAGTCTCTACCATCACGTCACCACGCGGACCAACCAGACGTGGATCCATGCCTTCATCAAGCGCCTTCTCGCTGTGCTGGGATCGACGAAATCCGTCATTTCCACCCCGATCCTCGACAAGGCCGCTCTTCTGACGCAGTATCGATCTGCGAACAAGCGTCTCTTCATGTTCGATTACGACGGTACCTTGACCCCGATCGTGAAGGACCCAGCCGATGCCATTCCCGGAAGCCGACTCATGCGCACCTTGAAGGCTCTTGCGTCTGATCACCGAAATGCGGTTTGGATCATTAGTGGCCGAGACCAGGAGTTCTTGAACCGTCAACTCGGTCACATCCCGGAACTGGGTTTCAGTGCAGAGCATGGCAGCTTTATGCGGCACCCCGGCAAGGAGGAGTGGGAGAATCTTGCCGAGAACTTTGATATGGGCTGGCAGAAGGAGGTGTTCGAATGCTTCCAGAAGTATACCGACAAGACCCCAGGTACGTATCCTACCGCCATCGCTGGTGTTTCGCTAACAAGACAGGCTCGTTCATCGAACGCAAGCGCTGCGCCCTCACTTGGCACTACCGGCCCTCCGATCCCGAGCTCGGCGCCTACATGGCCCGCGAGTGCCAGAAGGAGCTCGAGAAGACGGTTGGCAAGACCTGGGACGTCGAGGTGATGACCGGCAAGGCCAATCTCGAGGTCCGCCCTACCTTTATCAACAAGGGCGAAATTGCCAAGCGACTCGTTAGCTCCTACGGCCACGAGATCGGCGAGCCTCCCGAGTTCACGCTGTGTCTGGGCGACGACTTTACGGATGAAGACATGTTCCGTGCTTTGAACGGCAGTGCGCTGGACCCCAATCACGTCTTTACCGTGACGGTGGGCGCGAGCAGTAAGATGACACTGGCGCATTGGCACTTGCTGGAGCCGAGCGATGTCATCAGCAGTATTGCGCTGTTAAACGGAGGCGATTCCAATGTGGCGGACCTCGGGCCCCTGGCCGTGGTCGAGGGCAAGATCCCGGAGCAGATGCCGGGGAAGACGGTCCCGGATGAGACGCCTGGCGGGAAACTGTGAAGGGTCCGGCTGCAAGCGATGAAGTCACTTGGCGGAAAGGCGAGGTTTGCAAGGTGGGCGGGCATGGAGTTTTGGCGGCTGGAGGGTCGGCGTAGAGCGTAGATGAGCGCATATCCGGGTGCGACGACATGAGACGAGACTACGTGTGCTTCGGCTGGCTTTCCTGTACATAGCAAACGGATAGAAGGTCCTGCATTTTTTTCGAGAGGGTGAGTGAGATGAGCATCGAGAGCGATTCACCGAGGACGTAGATATCGGCGTTATGCTTGATACCCGCGTAACCTCGGAATCAATAGACTTTCTTGTACATGATATGACCTGAACGTGACTGTCCTCTTCTACTGATTGATTGGTTGGTTGATTGATTGATTAGGCGCTCTGCAGCGGAAGCATCGGAGGAAGGGAGCAAAGAGCATCTTGAGTGTACCTAAGGATGAATGGGAAGTACGAAATTGGTTTTTTTATTTGTATTTATTCGCTGGGCTCATATTGGCTGGGACTACTCCGTATGGCATGAGTTTCGGAATGCGCGTGGGTGGCTTGTACTTGTATAAGCGCGCTTCGGCATTATCTCTCTCTCTTCAGCCATGTTCTCTCATCCAATGATAAGCGCCTGGTTCCCTGGTCTCTGTTCCCCCCGTCCGAACGAGTCCCGATGGCTGTGAAGCCATATCCACCCCACATTGAGTGGAACGGAACGGAATGCAATGGCATGGAATGAATCAATGGATGGGGCCCTCCTCACCCCGTCTCGCCTCGCTTCTTCATCTCACCCGCGCCAAACAGAACATCGCATCAAACGACATGGTCTCGCTCTCTCTCGCTCTCGCTCTCAGCTGCAGCCGTAGCCGCAGCCCCTATCGATTCTCGATTTTATTTCTCCGTCTCATCTACCCGCGATCATAACACGCTTGATTGGCTACCACGAGACGACGGGCTTCCCGTGCTCGTGCTCGTCCTGAACCCCCAGCCCTGGACTGGTACTACACCTTGTTTCAACCTCATTTCTTTTCATTTCATTTTTTTTTTTCTTTTGGCAAAGCTGCCCGGAATGGACCAGCGCTTCTCGAACACGAATGGGGCTCTTCAGACAAAGACTATTGTCGTCGTCGGGTCAAGTGTCACCCACCAGCCATGGCCGGCCGGCAGGCCGGCCTGCCTCTTCGTTCGTAGAAACAAAGAGGCTGAGTATGCTACCTACTTATGATGCGGTGTTCCTATGGAAAGCTAGGAGGGTTGGGTGAGGGTAGTACCGCACCTAGCGCGTTCGTTGTCGTCGCTCTCTGTCTCTGGGTGCTGCTCGCGGTATCTCTGCTTTCTCTTTTTTTTTTTGTCCTTTCGGCTTTTACTTCGTGCCTACCTGTCTCTTTTCTTTCTTTTTGTGTTCGTTTTTTCTTCCATTTTAAAAACTACTCTAGATACTTCTATTTTTTGTTAAACATCGTCTATCTGTCTATCTTATTCCAGATTAGCGAAGCGGAACGAAAAGAGGGCTAGGGAGGCTGGGTTCGATATCTGTATAGCACCGCAGGTTCGGAGGCACAGAGTTTCTCTCGTTCCTGGATGTACCCTACCCACATACATCCGAGATCCAAATTTGAAGATATGAAGCTCTTTCAAACGGTATTTGGTCTTCTGCTGCTGGTGGAGCTGAGCTCGGCGGGGCCGCTGCGGAGAGAACTGGGAAGGAGACGGTAAGATCTTCCTTAGCTTGGTGTTGCCTGTCTGTCGTGTGCTAAGAGCTGACTTGTGTACAGAATGGCGAGGAGCTTTGCCTTTTCTAATACGTCGATACCCATACGGATCAGTACTGCGAGCGTAGCTGGCACTTCCGATACGCGCACGATCATTCCTGTCATCACATCATCGGACCTGTCGTCTCTGAGCTCTTCGGTGGAATATCCGTCATCCACATCGATAATGCTCGCCTCCTTGACAGATCAGACAACTGACTCGCACCTGTCTATTCCCTCCTCATCCTCTCAGTTCTCGCCTTCAAGTACGGCTGCCAAGTCCTCGTTTGCTTCGTCACGGTCGATAGCACTTGTTACTTCCACAAGTCCACCCGCGAGCCTTCTCTCCCGCCCACCTTCTGCATCTCCTGGCAACTCTACACGCTTGTCTACGAGGCCAGCTCTATCAAGCTCGCTTCCGTCTTCTAGTGCCGTCGAAAGGCAGTCACCAAGCATTCTTTCATCCCCGTCCCCATCGGCTTCGGCCCTGAAGGCCTCGGCCCATCGGGCTGCTGCTTCATTTTCGTTGAGAATCACAACTGGTGCTGCATCGGATCTGATCCTCATGACGGTGTCTCCCACGCGTTCAGTCCCGTCTCTCAGGACCCAATCAGCAGCTGCGACTCCCAGTGGCCAACAAGATAGCAGCACATCTCTTCCTCCAACTTCATCCAGCATCCGCACCTCTATCCCTGCGAGTGCTACTCTATTGCCTTCTCCTTTCACTGCCGTCAACCCGGCTCCCGGCAGTCTCACATTTTCCGCCACGTCCTCCACGTACTCAATCCCGCGCTTCACACTCAACAACACCAGATCCATTGCTCTACCGTCATTTTCTACATCTAGAGGTCTCGAGTCAGGGCCCGCCACAACCATACTCATTACGATCGACCTCTCCTCAATCACTGCGTCGAAGCCAAGTACTACTCCATCGACCGCTCTCTCTTCGTCTCCATCCTTCGTCTTTGTATGGACACGTTCTTCCCTCCCAGCTTCGACAATCTCTCACATCCCCACCGTCATCGCCACTCCCCCCGCCCCAACCTCTACCATCTCTGCCGCTACATTTGCCGCTAATTTAGCGCAAGCGCAGGGCTACAACGTCTTATTTTCGACCCTCAACTTCTCGTCCCCATGTACAGACAGGCAGATTGCATGTATCGGTGGGAGTGTGGGAACTTGCAACAACGAGGGTAGCTTTCAGATCACGGACGTCTGTGAGAAAGGGGCGCGTTGTTTTGCCTTACCGATGAACAGCACGAGTGGGGTGCTGGTTGGGTGTGCGGATGTGGCCGCGGCCAGGAGTGTATTGGGCTTGAGCTTGAGCCCGAGCAGCTCGAGTTTGGGCGAGACGAGGTCGGCAACGGGGCTGGAGTCGACCAGCTCTTTCGCTTCAGTGTCCAGCGTGCTCGAGTCAACGGCTCAAGTATCACCGACTCTCACATCAAGAACGCCAGACACATGCTCCACGGTGGAAACGACGGCAGGTCCACCTCCACCAACCCAATCATTTGCCAGCCAGACGACGCCTCCCCTCGTTCAGCCAACTACATCCCGAAGATTCGCTTCGCAGACGACACTCCCTCTTGGCCAGCCTACACTGCTGACATCGAAGTCGCCTCTTACCTCCGAGTCGGCTCCTTCGACCTCTACATTTCCGTACGCACCAGAGCCTAGTGCATCAACAACAGTAGTGGCTGACCCGGAACCGGTTCCTGCCCCTATTTCCACGCCCACGCCCAACGGGCCCACCTCGGCCGAGCCCATCAGCACCATCTACACCACCATCCAGCCAGAACAGTCCACCGTCACAATCATCCTCACCAAGCCCTTACCCTTACCTACCGCTCCCGCTCTGGCTCCTGCATCTACCTCCACCTCGGCATCATCCAGGACTAGAGACAGCGGATTCCTAACTATCATCCCTGTCCCTCCTCCTCCTCCTCCTCCTGCGCCGAAACCCGGTCCACCATCGCTCGGTGCTGGCAGCCGAGGGGACGACGACGATGGGGCGGGTAGTAGTTGTGAGGGGAAGAAGGAGAGGGTTACTGTTACGGAGACGGAGACTGTCACGGAGACTGTGACGGAGAAAGAGACGGTTACGGCCACTGCGACTGTCATTATCGCTAGCTAGTTGGGTATGCCGAGCGGGAAGCGGGTTGGCATTCTATTTAGACTGGGCTGGGGTGTGCTGGGTTGGGGTAAGGCTGGGCTGGGCAGGGCAGGGCCAGAGGCGAGGCAGGGCCAGAGACAGGGCAAGGCAGAAGAAGAAAGAAGAAGAAGGTCAGGAAAGGAAATAAAAGGAGGGGAATGGGGGGATGGGGGGATGCTGTTTGTGTCTGTGTAGGAAACTGTGTAAGAAACTGTGTAAGAAACCGAAACTGTGTAAGAAACCCGATCAATAAAAATCCAGGCTAGCTAGAGAGGGGAGAGTGGGGGGGGGGGGGAGAGTGGGTGAGTGGGGGGTGAGACTTACCAGGCTTGTAACTCGTAACTTGTCAAGCTGGGAAATTACAACGGAGAAGATTTATTGGATAATTTTTTGGTCTTTGAAGAATGAAAATGAAGGGAAGGGAGTCTACCTGTTTGTATATTATTTTTTTTTTTTTTTTTTTTTTTTTTTTTAGGCTCAGCTTATTTTAATTCGGAGGGGGGGGTTTCTTCTTTTCTTTTCAATCTTTTCAATCTTTTCAATCTTTTCAATCTTTTCAATCTTTTCAATCTTTTCAATCTTTTTTGCCCTTTTCAATCTTTTCTTTTCCCTTTCTCCTTACTCTTTTTCCCTCTTTCTCCTTACTCTTTTTCTCTTCTCTTTCTCCTCATTTTTTTTTCTAATTTTTTTTAAAGAAATAAATTTTTCTTTTGTATTTTTGTATTTTTTTTTTTTTTTTTTTTTTTA